AGGACTTCTTGAAGCACTCTCAACTGGAATAAGCCTTCCTAGGGATCCCGTGTGCCCCTAAATGAAGTGGAAAGATTCCAAATCGCCCAGGAGCTTCCATTACTCTTAATGAGAATTGCAGAAAACTTGTGAAGCTGGCTTTGTCTGTTAAGATGCTTAGAAGGGAGTGATGTCCTGGTGGAAATCTGGCCCCTTTAGGTGCCTAAAAGGCGTTTATTTTGAAAAACAAAAAAGTCCTTACTGGTGCTGATCCCCATGGAGCGAAAGCCCCAGTGCTTGATGCACTAGCGAGGATTAATCTCCATGCCCTGGTTTGATCTGTGTAGATCCAGCATCTTGGCACAAGTTGTGCGCCAGCACTAAAGTAAAACAATCATTTTAGCTCTAATGGTGATGTCAAACTGACCTACAGCTTTTCTTCTCCTTCCCCTTACCAAGTACTAAGAACACCTGCAATGAAGTCAGCGACACTAGGGTAGCTAGTCAAACCTGGTCAGTCGTCTCTTCAGAGATCAGCTTGAGGCTGAGCAAAGTCCTTTCAAGTCTGCAGCTCAGCAAGCAATGCGCAGTATGCAGCAGGTTACAAACCGCTCCCGCTTTCCGAGGCCCACACGCATTTCAGATGTCTACCGAAACGTCACTTTGCATACGTGGTTGTGGCTCCGTGGTTGTTAAAGGCTGTTTTGAAGGAGCAGGGGTGCAAGGCTTTGCTTGTTTCAAGAAATGTTGTCCCGCTTCATTGTGAAATCCTTCCCCTCCAAAAGCTATGTCCTGCATTTTGTTTCATCACCCCACAACAAGACCTGTATGGTGGGTTCTAGAGAGTTTATTCTGACCGCAGATTGGAATAAGATGAAACTAACCCTCCTTTCCTACAGGTTCCCGGTAACACAGATTTTCCTTGAGCGTGTGCCCATGGCAGTGACCGCATGAGCAAGGAATATACTGGCCGAAGGGGACCTCCTGTCCCAGTGGAACCCCGGCCGCGCCCGGCGGCTCTGGCCTTGTGTGAAACCTCTCCTGTGGCCCTGGTCTGTGCTTAGAGCTGGGACACCTGGTCTCTTCAAAGGACACAGTCACGCAAAAGACAGAGAGGGTGGTGTTGATAGGAGGGGAGCAAAGCAGCAAGGTCTTTTGGAGATGTGCATCTACTGAAGAGACTTGTGGTATGCGTAGGTGGTTCCTGTAGGGTGCTGGTGCGCTGAACTGGCACGTCGGGCATCTCTTACCTGTGCACTGGGGTCTCAACAGCCTCATCCCACGTGGAGTCTAGACCTTGCCTTTGAACTGTAAAGCCATCTATGCTTTGAGCCCTCTCTCTTCTACAGCACATCAAGATCCTGTTGGTTTGATGCAATACTGTCGTTCTTAACTACGTAGGCAGCATTTTCTTGAGTAGGATTGCGAAGGGACGTTTTAAATTAATCATTTTAGTTACTCTTTAGTGCTGGGTTTTAAAAGTTCATATGGAAGGATTTTGATGGCTATAGCATACTTTTTTCTTCCCCCAAGATCTTTCAAATCTGGCTGATGAATTTGAGAATGAGCTCAGTTTCTCAAATGGTCCTCCTCTTATCAAGCCAGTTTATTCAAAAGCTGGTCTCTAGTGTGTCTGAACTCCAAGAATGCCTCTACCCAGGTAAGCTGTTTATTCTAGATTTTTTTTTTTTAATTTAAGATGGTATTGCACAGAACTTCTAGGAAGATAATATGATACAAGATTTTAGGCACACAACTGGTAGGGTATTTAAAAGATGCAACTGCTCCAAGAATGTCGATTTCCCTGATTTTTGAGGTGTTTCGATCTCTTCTCCCATTTTTGCCACTAAGTGTAATCCCTAATGCACACAATTGCTGAGGATATACCTGGTGTCCCAGGGGCTTGAGCACTGTCTGCCCCCTGTTACGCTCAAAAATCTTCTTATGGACAAAGAAGAGAGAGAGAGAGAGAATAATTTATTTCTAGCATAACTGAAATCTAAGTAGTCTAATCAAGGAATTATTATTAGTCAAGATCTAATTATTACAGAGAAAGGAAGAAAAAGACAATAAATGAATACGACTGTGAAAAAAGTACTACTACTACTACTACTACTACTACTACTACTACTACTACTACTACTAGTTACCTGCATGTTTCCTAGGATCCACCCCTGTTCCTGGCATTACGCTCAGCCTTCCAGTGCCACTCCGGATCCTACTGTTGATGGCTCCGGTCTGCCGGAGATTGTTAGGGCGAGTCGTCAGCATTCCCGGTTCTTCCGTCAGGAGTACGTAGCTGATGTTGATGGCCTCTTTTTCCTACTCCAGGATCCGCTTGGGGTCACTTGCTGTACGTTTGCTAACGCACTTTTACACCTTGTTCTTTCTTCACTGGTCTGTGAGTTCACTGCGCCATTGGAGTTTAGTAAACAGGGCGTGTTTCACAGAAGTTAGATACTTGTTCTCCGTTACCCTTCAAACCAGTTTTGTTCAGCTCCAGGGCTGCATTTCTTTACCTGACCATCTGAGAGCTATTTCTGGCCTTGGGATCTCCTGTGCTCTGTCTCTTACTGCCCCACACCTGAATTCAGCCCTGCATCCTGCATCCCACATCTCAAGACCTCTGCTGTCCTACTGGACCTGTATTTCCACACTCTGCATCATCATGTTATAGGCAGAAACAAATCACCCTGTGCAGAATACCTGCTTGTTGCTGCTGTCTGTATAAATTGATGGTTGTTATCCACAGACACCTGGTTATTAGAAAAAATGCTATTACAGGTAAACCAAGTGAAAACAAAGCTCCAAACAGGTCAACAAAAATTCAAACAAAGCAACCAGGCAAGCCTCCGACCTGAGGCCTTGCAAACTCAGTACACTCCCCGTGGCTTGGTACTAGCAATGCTGTACTGCTGGTCTGCAGGGCTAAGCACCAAGTGTTTGGGTGTCGGAGGTCTGGTCGGCTTAGACATTCCTCTCACCCGGTAAATTAATTCTGCCATCCTGCTCGTTGCTACGGGGGAACTTCAGGCTGGGACACAGAAGGGAAAGTAAAGCTCAGCCCTTACCGTGTGGGGTGGAGAGCCTTGCCTTGGTTTTATTTTTTAGGTGAAGACTGATTATTTCAGAAACACTCAGCTATAAAAGCAGCACTGGTTGCTGAGCAACAGATACTCCCACATACCAAGCCCTGAAAGACAAGGGAACAGAAGTAGCCAAGGGCAATGTAAATCCTATAATGTTCCTGCAGAGCAGGGCTGTGGCTTGAGGTCAAGCTCTGAGACACATGGGAGACACAAGGAATTCCAGGTCCTTGTCCTGTGTCAGAACCGCTCCAATCAGTAGCAGACAGATACTTTCTCATTAAACATAGTCCATGGATTTTTTTTTTCCAAATTCTGACCTATAGATGTATGTATTAATTGCTAATTTTTCTAATTATTTTTGTAATTTTGCTATCTTTTCACATCTGTTTTCAGGATTACTCTCAGATGATTGATTTACTGGTCAGTTAATAGTGTTTTGGTACAGGATATGCAATTGCTGTTTCTTGATGAGAATGTGTTTTTTAAATGGAAGGCTGTGACACAGTCAGCGTAAATGTATGCTTGCATTTGAGATTTGTCTGTGTGTTATGAATGTGCATAGCTGTAATTTTAACCTGTAAATTTAAGAGAGGATTTGTGTCAATATTTTTTAAAATTACTGTTACTCATTATTTTGGAGGAGCACCAAGTTTAGCGCTGGGATGAGAGATGTCTTCATGTATTCCCCTATATTTAATAGGAATGTGTGTCTATACATCAAGATGATGCTCCTAGGTGCCTTTTCCTATATGCATTGTGTTTTACCAGTCAGGAGCGTAGGAGATGCTGCAAGCAGGCTGCTCCATCTGGTTCAACCACTGGTCTCTCACTGTGGCAGCAACATATCCTTCAGAGGAATACCTAAATAATGAGAAGGCAGATAGAAAGGAAGCAGATCCTTCCACAGAGACTTTTCCTTATTCCGTTTAGAAGTCAGGCACGCCTGAAGCATGGAGTTTATACCTCTTTTATTCATATAAAAAATCCTTACAGATTTACCACCAGGTATTACGGGAATGCTGAATTTTTTACTCACATTAAATCATTTACTTTGATGACCTCATGGTATAATATATTCCTCCAGTAACTGGTGTGTCGAGTAAATTATTTGCTGGATTTTGTTTTTCTAATTTTTTCTTCCTTTTTTTCTAGTGGCTTCTAATGAAATCAAATGGAAGCCAGAAACCATCTGCACCGACCTGTTCTTAGAGCATCCTGGATTAGAGGATTTAATGAAAAAACAAATCCATCCACTTAACAAGGGGGTACTGATATTTTCAAGGGGTTGGGCTGTTGACATTGGATCGCGGAAAAAACAGGGTGTTGTGTGTGATGTTCTCTTAGAAGCTGAAAATGCATATCCAGTATTGTATACTGTAGTCAAGGACGCCTCTTCTGCTGAGTCTAAAAACTCGAGAGAAACTGCTTATGCGTTAAAGTGGAAACTAGTCAATGATGGGGGATATGCTTCAAAAGTGTGTGTGATTCCCCAAATACTGCACCTGAATGGCACAAAGAACTGGATGGAAGTTGCAGAGGCTGACGTTCCCCAGCAAGAAAACCAAGAACACCCGTGTGATTATGCCAGCTTGTACCCAGAGAATTACATCCTCACCTCCAGGGACATCCCCGTGTTCCTGCGTGCACTTGTGATTGTTGTGCTGCACTTTAAGTCCCGCTTAAGTCACCATCTTGGCTGTGAGATTTTTCAGCCTTCTCACTCTCAAGCAGTATGAGCTGCTCCCCAAGAACAATGTCAAGGAGCAGTTTGTCCTTGGTGTTCCTGGAACTGGGAAAACAATTGTGGCTTTGAAGATCATTGAGAGAATAAGAAACATTTTTCACTGTTCTGCAAAAGAGATACTCTACATTTGTGAAAATCAGCCCTTGAAGAAGTTTGTGGGGTAAGCAGTAATGTGTATTTCCCCTTTTTTCTTTCATTCCATCCTCTGTACATACAGCACAAACCCTGCTGATTTTAGATCTGTTTGCCAAATATATAACTTTGGCTGACAGAAGCACACAATAATCAACTCAAGAAAGGTGTTAGTATTGAAAGTATTATTGAGCTGAGCTCTGGCCCAAATCCAGCGTTCACTGACTGCAGTGAGGATCCCACATTCCGTGATTGCTGGATTGTGTTAGACCTTCCAAAGACAATGGCCTTAGTTTAACAGTCTATTACGGCTGATGCTGACACCAAAAATACCCACCTGCCTTCCTCTGTTGCTGCCTCAACACTGCCTGTGCTGGGCCTGATGCAAGCTCTTGTGCAGCTGTGCTAGGAACTGGCCCTTGGACCTGGGCCGTCTAGACAAGGAGAACAGAAACAAATGCCCTTTTGGTGGAGGATTTCAGGCAGAGCAGTTCCCCAGTCCTGTTCTCGCTGCGTTTCCACTTGCGTCAGCATGGAGAGCTCAGCAAGCCACCACGGTGGACAAGGCATCTTGCGTCAGGGAATAATAGCTCAGGCGCGGCAGTGCCCAAGCAGCAGGTCCTGGCCCCAGCAGGCAGATGGCCTGGCAGAAGTGCTGCCGGTCCCTGCTCACCCTGGGGAGAAAAGGGAACCCGTCCTTCCTGCGGGAGCTCGGGCACCATGCTGCCTTCCCTGGGCCGGGGAGAGCGGGGCGGAGGGACGCCCCTGGGGAGCCTTGCCATGGGGTCCCCATGTAGGAAGGGTGGGCTTGAGTCTCCTCTTAGGGTAGAGCAAAGCCAGTTGGTGGGGGCTGTGCGGGCTGTGCAGCAATGCCAGCGCACAGCCAATCCGTTGGAATGAATGTTTCCACCGGGAAAACAATATAGCACGCTGCAGCTGAGATAGGAAGTTTTGCATTTTTAGACAGTAAGCAGCATAGTCCTCCAAGGAAGAACCCACTGAGGAATGGAGGCAGTCAATACGGATTTGTCTGGTCACATCTTCTTTTTATTTACCGTATGGGTTTTTTGGGTTTCGGTTTGGTTTTTTTTTTAGAAATGAGATCTGCCAGTCTGTGACACATGTTGCCTTCTTAAATGGGAACTTCCCAGAAGTGAAACACATTGTGGTTGATGAAGCTCAGAATTTTCATCCTGAAGAAAACCGGCACCAAAGTGCCCAGGAGCTAGTCAAGAAAAAAGTGGCATTTTCTGGGTCTTCCTGGATTTCTTCCAGTCCACTCACCCATACGGTTGTGGACTTAAGTTTTCAGAACTATATCCTCAGGAATGGTTGATCAAAGTGGTCCGTAATGCCAAACAAATATACAACGTCATGTTTAATCTAATGGAGGAAATCCTCCAAGAACGTAACACAGACATGCCCTGTGAGGTGCTGGAAGAGTTGCTTAAACAGGCTGAATGCGCCCATTCTTTGTCAGGTGACTGCATAATAAAAAATAATATGGGAACGTCTGAAATGGCAGAGTACGTGACCGGGCAGTGCAACAGCTATATCCAGCAAGGCTATCCCATCAAAGATACTGCAGTCCTGTGCAGTACACAGCATGCAGCCCATGCTGCATGGATATTGGAATATAGGATATTGGGACCTGAGCTAAAAAGACAAATAAGGAAATGCAGGGTGAGGTTGATCTTGGGGCAAGCGGAGAATGTTTTAGAAAATGTCATCGTTCTTGACAGCATCCATCGCTTCTCAGGCCTAGAAGGGAGGATTGTGTTTGGCATCCACCCTGTGTTTGGCACAAGAGGAGATATCTCTCTGTCTTTTCCTCTGCGTGGCATCCAGAGCCAACACCAAACTCCATTTGCTGTATCACAAAGAAAAGATGTTCTTAACAGACACGTCTTTAGATGAGTTTACTCTTACCTAGCGCTATGGACCCTAGAATGCTTCGCTCATTTTTTGTTCAGTGATATTATAGGGCAGCCTTAAGATTTTTTTATGCCCTTTCTGTAGCCTATGCAAAAAAAAAAAAATCATTATGCAGTCTCACATACATATTTCATCATGTGTAGGCCTGTAGGATGTCATAAAATTTATTTTAATTAAAGGACATCGCCATCTGGAGAGAACAAATTGCTGAAAATGGCAATTGCAGAAGGAAGTCAACAATTACAAACTACTTGGATAAATCATAGAACAGTTTGGAGACTTGCACTTTCAGTTCCTCTGCTCTTTAAGCTGATTGCATATTCTGAGTTGTTTCAGCACTACCAGAGTGGAACCACTGGTTGGAAATGCAGCAGGGGCCTTCCCTGTTTACATCGCTGCTGGTGCTGGTGCAAATGGTCAAAACTCTACTTTTTTCAATGGTGGGGAGATTTTTGTGAATTTTCAGCCAAATCGCCTCTTTTATCATCCAAAAAGATAGAGCCACAGCCTGCTTTTGGGAGTGGTGGTGACTTTCTTCACCTCTGCTGGGAATGGGGCTGTGGTTTTGTGGTCGCATTGAATCATCTTAAATGCAGGTTTCTGCCCATGGAGGCGGTTCTGTCCCCAGCAGTACAGTCCCAAACCTCTCATAAGCGGGCTCAGGTGTGCAACAGCGTAGAGAGTTGGGAACTTGTGGGGGTTTCTTCGCAAATTAGTCTTCAGCCAGGTAAGCTCCACCGTGTCATGCAGGTGCCCAAGTGCTAGGAATGTGCTTTCTGGAGAAGGAGGCCGCGCAGGATCACCAAATGGTTGAGGTAGGAAGGGACCTCTGGAGGTCATCTCATCCAACCCCCTGCTCAAGCAGGGACACCTAAGCTGCCCAGGACCATAGCCAGATGGCTTTTGAATATCTCCATGGATGGAGACTCCACAGCCTCCCTGGGCAACCTGTGCTTCGGTCACCCTCACAGTAAAAAACTGTTTCCTGATGCTCGGAGGAAACCTCCCATGTTTCAGATTGTGCCCGTGGCCTCTGGTCCTGTCACTGGGGACCACTGCAAAGAGCCTGGCTCCATCCTCTCGGCAGCCTCCCTTCAGGTATTGATACACATTGATGAGCTCTCCCTAAGCCTTCTCTTCTCCAGGCTGAGTAGTGCAGCTCTCTCAACCTTTCCTCATATGTGAGGTGCTCCAGTCCCTTCATCATCTTCATGGCCCTCAGTTGTACTCTCTCCAGTATGTCCATGTCTCTCTTGTACTGGGAAGCCCAGAACTAGACACGGTGCTCCAGCTGTGACCTCACCAGTGCTGAGTAGAGGGGAAGGATCACCTCCCTCGGCCTGCTGGCAACACTCCTCCTAATGCAACCCAGGACATCGATAGTCTTTTTTGCTGCAAGGGCACATTGCTAGCTCAAGTTCAACTTGGTGTCCACCAGGACCCTCAGCAGCCTTCTCTGCAGAGCTGCTTCCCACAGTCAGCCCACAGCGTGTACTGGTGCCTGAGCTTGTTCCTCTCCAGGGGAAGGACTTTGCAATTCTCCTTGTTGAACTCCATGACGTGCCTGGCAGCCCATTTCTCCAGCCTGTCGAGGTCCCTCACTTGATGCTTCTCCCTTGTGCTCCTCTCTTTTGGTAGCTGCTCACATTTGTACCCACTCAAGCTGTTTAGAAACTGCAAGTGGGTCACCAAGATTTCATCATTCTAACTGGGACTATTGAAGTCTTGAAGTCAACAAGCTGTTGCAATATAGTGCGTATGTTGACAGCCCAATTCTTACTGTCATGTCAAATTTGACATAAGCAGTATGGCTCTTCAAACTCTGATTGTGCAAAAACCTGTTGAGCATCTACCACATAATTACATCTTTTCTTTCTGTCTCAGATGCCAACTGTTGCCAAGCTTTGCCAAAGTTTGTCTAGTAACGTAGTTCCTATTACTGCTTACTCTGATATTAGCTTTTAAAAATCTCAATAAAAAGTGACATGATAATGTCATATTTGCCCAGAAAAAAAAAAAGTTATTTCACTCAGACTGTTGTACAATTGCGTCAGCTTTCTGCTTTTCTGTAGTAAATGGCTTTTTCTGATTTTGGGATCTCTAGTATTTGTGGCGGCCAGCGTTCCAGGTCCGAAAATGCAAGAGCCTTGCAATACCTGCAGGACCACCAAGGAATTTCCACCGCAGCTAATGGTCTGAAAAGGAGGAAGATCTAAATCCTACCCGGTTTTATACTTCAGGCTGTTAGTGTGCCAGTTTAACGTCAGCACTGCAGCGCACTTAAGTGAATATGCCCTCCTGCAGTATTTAAACTTGCCTTGACCAAAACATTCCCGGAGTAGCAGTGGGGAAGCAATTCCCAGCCCAGCATCCCAGGAGTGGTACGGGATGTACCCCGCCCCTTCAGAGGGGGGGTCCCAGCTGGCGGAGCTGGGTTGCGGAGCCGTCAGGCACACTGGCCTTGTGGGCACTGACTCCGAAGAGGACCACGGGGCGACCAGGTTGCTGGGTGGAATGGAGTCCATCTCGGGGTTGACTCCAGGGAAGGGACCAGAGAAGCGAAGATGCTGGCTGAGGAGATGGTGGACAAGGAGGAAGGACACAGGTTCCCAGGGGACACAGGTTCCCAGGGCCACCTCTTCGAGCAAAGAGGTTGCATCGTAGGGTGTATGTGGATCTCCAGAATGTTTTCACAAGACCCCTCAGCAGGGGAGGCACAGCAGGGAAGGGCCGGGGAATGCAGCAGAACCGGTGGCACCGGGTGACTGGCGGCGAAATGGCGGGCGGGGGGGGGTGTGTGGGGGACGGGGGCTGCCACCCTGGCCCGCCCGCGGAGGGACAGGCCCCTCACC